TTCAAAAGTATATAATAACTTTGGTAAACGTACTGAATTATATATAGCTGCTTATTTAAGCTAAGCCGTAAATGGCTAGCCATTTTCGGTTTTATATCAGTGACTATATAATAGAAAAAAACAAGTATTAATATATATTAAACATTGAAAATAGGTAGGTGTTATTCTTCCTATTAATTATTTACATTTTATTAATAAGATTTTTTCATACGACCTTCCAGACATACTACTCGATCTGTCTAAGCTTAGATCGTATTCTATTGAATCGATATAAGAAATCGTTAGATCGATTGTCGTGAATCGATCTTTTAGAAGATCGATTTATACCACGCATATCTATTTGTGTTCTTTCTGCCTTCTCTGAAGGGAATATGACGCGACAATAAGCAGCTTTAACCCAAACGTTATTATGTCATCGTTTCAAAAGTAATTTTCTATAAGTCCTTAAAATTATACAACAAATGAGAAGGAGATTATTATCTTTTTGAAAATATTGGTATATCATCTTAAATTACAATATTATTATGATTTTCGCCGGCTTTAGAAGTCGTGAAGCGACAAGCGTTGTTCCCTTTGAATATTTGTCAGATCTTGGCTCTGTCGTTGGAGCCTCCTTTGCTAATTGTGATTCGGTAATTAAAGCCTTCTCTCTTTAATATGCCTGTAGAAGCCCGCTGGGAAACAAAGAAAATTATTTTATAACCCATTGTGAATTTTTAAAGGTTTTTTTCGGGTGATTTTTTTTTGTAACTTTCTTTTTAATTTCAATTATGTTTATTTGTTTGTTCACTACAATGAATAGAATGATCAATTATTTCTATTCACTATTAATGAACAATATAAATATTCCACTTAAAACTTACCAATTAGGGAAGTTATCAATCAAAAATTTCACTTGAATGAGGTGACAGTGTGGTAATAATTAAAAAACTTATATATCAATAAAAATGCAAATTTTTTATAATAAATATAAATATTTATTTTGCTGTATGGAGGGAAATACATTCTGTCAATGTCACAGAGCAATGTGGTTACTATTCCATATATTTTTATAGTGACAGCTTTCATTTAAAAATATAGTCTAAGTTAAAAATGACTGAGGTGCATTTCAAAACTACACTTGAACATTAATCGTCTTCATCTGATATCTTGGTGATTATTTCTTTCTATGATTTCGTATTATACCTCGAAGTGCCTGGCAACAGCCACTGTGGATCGTCGCTGGGTTTAGCTTAATAAATAAATACAAAAAGAAATAGAATCTTATAATATAAGAATAGAAAAACTAAAGACAAATAAAACACTCCACTTCGAATGAAGTTTATTGGATTTATTAAACGCCTCATGTAATTTAGTTTTTTAGAATAGGTTACAGTTATAAAGAAAAAAATATTTAAACACTGTTATTGAATTTTAATTGAATTAATACTCTGAATATTATAATAATAGTATCGCTTATATTAATAACCAACATTTGAATTTATCATGGTAATTTCGATAATTGTTGATTATCGATAGGTTGTATTAAACAATGTCACATCAATATAATATATTAATATGTATATGTGTATGTATATTACAGAAATTACCGGATTCCCAGTATCAAAGACGAGTGGCAATTTTTTATACATGAGATGCCTTTTGAAAGGTTCGAATATGTTGTCTCTGGGTTTGAATACAAGCTGATATTAATATGTTTTTATCTATGAAGTTGTATTTTTCCTTTGTCACCGTTTCGTTTGTGTCTTTCATATTTTCTATGTTTTATTCAACGTTTCAAGGCTCGGTTATAATCGTTACTTTGTTGATCGTAAATATTTTTTTTTGTATTTTAATGGTATGTTCTGGTGTTTTTGTGTTTACATTCTGAATAACTTATTCTATTCAAATTAATTTTGACATATGAGCAAAGTATAATGCAGCGATAATAAATGTTCATTGGAAATAAATAAATAACATATATTAATGTGATATTTTTCATACAAACACAATTTCATGGATAAAAATCGGACCACTGTGCAGATGTAACAAATTTAGTTGACGCAATTGTCTACATTTTATAAGAGACCATTAACAGTTGTAGCAACAAAAATGTTTACTTTTGTTTATACATTAAACTCTAGTTAGCAAATTAAGGTTTAAGTGAATAGGGATGATGACTAATTTTTGTTTGTTTATCCGTCAGGTAGAGTGTTAAAAAATATTAAAGACATTTTTTTTTTCTTAATCATAAAATTACGGTGTTACATTGAGTTGAAATTCCGCATGACGTCACGTTAGAGTACGTTTTCTACTCAACTGTGACGTAGCGAGCCCCCACTCCTCAATTTGAATGACTGTTATCTAAGCTATTTCTTGTTACATTGAAAAAAAAATACGTATCAAATTTTTTTCTATTATCTGACTGACGGACTAAATAAAATAGAATTTTTTTTACCCAGTCATCATCCCTATTGTAGTAAAAAACAAAACTTTGTAAAACCTGTCATCAACGGTATGTACATAAAATGGACACGCCGGGTCTAGATTGGTATATAATTTATAATTGCTGATTATGGAGACTAAAAATTTTTGTTGCTACAAAAGAAATAGTATTTAATCACCTTGACTCATAAAAGGTTGCGCTGATGAAATTGTAAAATCATAATAAAAAGGTAGTAGCTGTTTATCAGTTGCCGAAACTAGAGGGTACCTACTTTGCGCAGTGTCATATATTTTTATTAATATTTAATATGTATTATAAGTTAATTTGGTATTTGAAGATATTTGCTGTTTAGAATTTGTCGCCTCTTAACTAATTATTACTGCATATAATTTTCTTCTAGTTAAATATAGAAAAAATAATCTCCTAATACCTGAAGCTAGTTGATAATAATTATTATGATTTTTGGTTAATATATTGTTAAAAGCTGCTCTCATAATTTTGATCGTAATTCATAAGTTCACTTCGTAATTCGTTTGAATTACAAATACATTTTATCTCACTTTAAAATAATAATTTAAAATAATAAATAGTAACAATTATACGTAACGTAATAATTACACAAAAAAGATATTATTATAGTAAAGTTATTTATTTAGTTATTTATTTAATATAGTATTGTGAATGCAATTTTTCAAGTCTTTTCATTTCAAGTTAATCCCAATAATATAACGCCAAAAGCATTTTGTGGTAGTGTCGTTTGTTGTTTTATTTGTACTAACCGTCTCGTAAACCGTGATACACAGTTGAAAGCGCTGCGTGGAACGTTGCTGCTATAATAACAAATACTAAAAATATTAAAATTAAAATTTAAGGTGGCTCCTATATAATTAACTTGATATTTTAAGTATTTCATAGAAAGTACACACTAAGACATATATTTCTAAATGTAAAACGTCAATTTATAAAAGTTTTGCTCAATAGCATAAATCGTAGTTTTTCTGAAATTTAATTCACAGTATACATAGATAGTATCATATATTGTGCGATTCCGATTCGCACTTATCTGGTTATTCTACTGGTTGTTTTTTTAATTACATATTCATCAACAACAAGCTTATAAAGATAGCTCATATTACGTCGATTAATGATGACAAACAATATCGATACTAAATTAATTACAGTCTAGTAAAATGATTGCAATTATTCATCGCGTGTTGCTTTGTCCACGAGCTGTGATGCCAATGCACACCGGACAAATAATAACCGGTCCGGGTATTTTGTCATGTTGAAACTAATGAGAATTTGCTCACACACTATTTATTTTGTCCCCGCTGGTCGCGATACGGCCCACTGGGCATATCCGATGTACGATAAATATATGTGTGCTGTACGTGTTAATAATTCAACAACGGATTTGTGTTGTCAAATTAAACAGCGTTTCTGTATTGATTACGCAGTAAAATAATGTTGGATGTTAAACAGTTCATATATTTTTTGGGCAGTGTATTACAAATATTCTTTCGAAAATATCAAAATCTATAGTGACATATGGTTATGTACACTTATTACAAAAGTTCAAAATTCTCCAATCATTTATCCTCAATTTGTTGATTTTTTGTTCAAAATATATTGCAGTGTAAGCTAGAAAAAGAAAATGCTTAGAAAACCATTTTCTGCTATATTAGCCGTAATAGAAAGATAGAGATACAATACAAATCCTATACAATTAAATTTAGTTTCTGTTAAATGCAACTTCAAAATGATATATTTGTGTTCTTTTCTCATTTTCTGATACAATCACGTGGTGATTGTCGCTTCAACATCCATGACTCGTTACCCAAATCCCAAGGTGCTGTCGTGAAAATGTTTTTATTCTCGTACGTAATAATAACAACGTCGTGAGAGACGTCAACATTTTTCGCTTCTACGATTTTAGGCTGAATTATTGCTGATTTTGCGCGTGTTTTGAAAGGACGCCGCCCCCGTGACTGCTATGCTAATGTATCAGGCTTGAAATGGCTTCGGTTTCAAAGGCGAATTTAATTTTGTTGCTTCGTTTCCCACTTAAAGTTTTATTCATGTTTAGAAACGTGTTAATTATTCTTGTTTATATTCCGTGTTAACTCATTAGTCATTTCAGATTTTAAAGTTAATATAGTTTCTAAAAATGTGAATAGCATAAAGTAACATAGGTCGTTAGTAAATCTGTAAAAGACCTTGGACTGAAAAGAAGGTATGAAACTCGGAAAAAAATTTTTTTTTCATTGTATAATTGTAAAGAGCGAATTTTATTATATGAGGCCTTCAGTTTTGGATTGGAGATCGTTTATGATACTATAGTTAATGGATTGATCTATAAATCAAAAATGAATTCTTAAATATGTTTCAAAAAGGACAATGGTTCGAAAAACTAAGCAATAAAAAAAACATATGCCACAGAAGTCCGAGTAAGGTTTTTATAACACTATAAAACTGAGCGATACTTAGCTAGATTATAATAACTATAGTTTCACAAAAAAACTTAAAATGAATAAAAATATAAAATTAAGTAAAGCAAATAAAATTTTGCTCGCAGTTACGGCGTTGCGTGAACACTGGGATGAAGCTAATGCACGTGTACTACAACGTAAGGCGCAGCTCGATGCGATGCTCGGCGATTCGCAGCGATACGAGGCGAGGCGGCGCGATGCGGACGCGTGGCTGGCACGCATGGAGGCACGCCTGGCCAGCATGTCACCGCCGGGACACACAGCTGATGTACTCGAGATGCAGCTTAGAGAACAAAAGGTAATATTCTATGACTGATACAGCATCTTTTCAATAGTTATAAGTGGGGAAGCAGCGAGCTCAAGCTATCATAAACTCGCTTAAGACCTGCTCAGGGGTGGATTTTTTTTAGTAAATTCAATTAAGTGCATTTTGGCAATGTCATAATAATGGTTCATCTTGTGTACTTGAATTTTCTTGCTGGGCTCATACCAGATAAATTAGAAATACATTCACAACGATAGTGACAGATAGCAGATTCGCATATGTAGATTAGATTCTTTTTTTGACGTTTGTAGAATATCTCGTCAAGGATAAGATTTTGTCAATTACAAGTCGACTAAAATATAAAAGTGAGGTTTACGTCAGCGTATTCATTTGCCGGGGATTTTCTGTAGTAATTTAGTTTCTCTAGATTTAAACGATACTATCCACTAATGAGGTACTTCAATGCCGAAATTCCAAGATTCTAGCCCCTACAGTTAATGAGATTTTCCAATTAGTCAGTTGACTATATTTAGTGATTTAATCTAGTAATATATATACATACAGAGCTGCCAATGAAACTTACTTTTAAGGTTTTTTAAAATTAATTGGATTAAATTCCTATGCATACACATATACGACTTGAATTAATGTCTAAAATGGTGAAACAAACTTTTGTTTTGTAAACGCACTTGAAAATTACACCATTTATTTTCTTTTTGTGAAGATAATCAGAAGATTAAATGTAGATAAAAATATTTACTAATACTATACAGAGGAAATATTCGTTTACATTAAATAAGCTACAATAATACTTATAAAAAAAACTACATCATACATTATACACGGGTGACATAATCTAACATACATAGGTGATGTAACAGGAAAGTAACTAGTTAATTACATATATCAATATCAACAAGTAGTATTTAATGATAATCCTTGCTACGATTGAATTTGCTGAAAATTATGGAGAGTAAATCAATTCATATTTCAAACAACGGTATCTAGAATAGTTGAGATGTTGTTAAGAGGGCGTTTAAATAAAAAACATTTAACATTTGATCAATTTCGCATTCACAATGCTATACTGAAAAATGGGAACCCTGAGATGGGAATCGAACCCACGACCTTTCGCAATCTTCGTGGGTTCGATTCCCATTTCAGGGTGCCAGGGACCAAGTGGTTTTTTTAAGCATTTTGTATTAAGAATAAAAACATTTAATTTTTAATTCTAATAAAAAAAATCCAAATCATGGGAAAACTGTATCATGTATACCTTTATACTAAGGAGTAACTAGGTCGAACAAACAATCCCTAGAAAAAATACAAATTCTATATTTCTCGTAATTTAACTCTTTGCTTCATCATCATCAATCCTATTATGACTCCACTGTAAGGGCTCAGGTCTTCCTTTTGGATGGTTATGGAGGATGGTCCATGACCATCCAGAGTGGGCCCAATGCGGATTTGAGGACATTAATGACTTCAAATGCAGCTGGAACCTTAACGTGCCTTCCGATGCGTGGAGTAGTTCGATATAATAATTTTTGGCCACCTATCTCGTGACCGAACCTTGCAAAAGCTGCTTTACAACAACGTTCGTGTACTCTTCAGTCAGATACTTACTAACCTGAGAATAGTTACAAAATAATTCTATTGTGCCAATAATTAATTAAATATGTATTTTGACAGTTCATTCGTACATTACGCCATCCTCTGTCCTGTATGTCTCATTGGCTGTAGATTTCGTCTCGTTTTCTATGTCTTTATACGTAGCGTCAAATAACAGTATGAGTATCTAAAATGTTTAATTATGTTTGGATTAGGTAAGGAAGCATTATTTTACTGAATTATAAAGGTATCAAAGCGTATCGGCTTCACTTACACTGTTACTGAGAATCCCCCAGAGATGTCGTAAGAGTACCAAGTTTATAATAAACATATAACCATTTTGAGTAGACTAGCCTTTGCCCGCGTTTTCGTCCATTCTTTGAGTAGCATTTCTAAAACGAATATTTATTCATTATATCGTATAAAATACCTGAAATAAACTTTCATGATTTTATCTTTGACAATGACGAACTTCCGTACAATCTATTTATCACAATAATAGCTACTTATGTCCTATCACAAGTCAACTCTGTTTAGTGGGTTAGGCGTGAGAGCGTAACCGACGTACACACAGACCTACTCTGGCGTGTACAACATTAATGTGGAATAATTAAACGATTCTCCTTCTCCCTCATTAAATCATCATATATTATATTTTAATAAAAGATTACCAGGCAGTTACCGAAATAAGAAGACTAATAATAAATCACGATTGCTTAGTCGACTTTAAAATTTACAGCTGCTAAGATGTAAATTAAAATTTTAAACTTTAATATGACAGTATAATGGATATGTCGTAGCCAATTGAGTAAAAGATCCGTCCAATTAGGCGGCTAACCATATAATAGAATAGCGCCATTTATTTGCACGGCTAAACATCGATCGGCTGAGTGACCATCGCAAGTTTTTCTACAGTGCGGCTGTACACAGGGAATTGGTTAACTGTCAAAGGTCACTATACGAAACACACTTATTAATTTTATTAATAGCAAAAGGGTCGCGATATTCTAATGAAATCATTTTGATGTTCAACTTCAAAGACACTATGAAAAAAACAATATCCATTTATTTATTTTACGGTACAGCAACAGCTATACATGTAAATTAAACGACTAATGTCCAATATGTTACAGTAATTTATCTCTGAAAACTTTAAAGCTATGTAATCGATTTGAAATACATATTAAAAGAAAAACACAAATCTAATGTCGACACAAAAATTATTCGCAAACTGTTAAGAATAAACGCCATCAGGCCTTCCTTATGGATTGGTTAAAGAGGATGGGCCATGACCATCCACGCTGGTTAAACGCGGATTGGAGGGCATTAAAGAAAATACAGCCGGAACAACGGCATAACGTGTCTTCCGAATCATAGAGAAGCTTGAAATATTTTTTTATTTGGCTACCTATCCCTTGACCTTTGCGAAAGTTGCTTAACAACAACGATTATGGGCCGCGGTGATTATCTACTACGTCACCAAGCTACTCATCAGTATAGTAACGCATAAATTTCTTACAAAATTTTATTTGAAAACTCAACCTAGACCAAAACAATGCGATGTAGAATCTAGTATAGCACAAAACTTATAGTTTGTGAGTTGTACTTGAATATTTTCAATGTAATCAAATATCACAATATTAGGAAATCTTTAGAAATAATATCATATAGTTTTATTAAAATGACAAATCAAATTGTAAACAATGGTTGTTATGGGAACATTTTGATTCCCCATTGAATATTACACTCCCATTTTCATATCTTTAAGTACTAGACTTCGGGATAAAATATAATTTATGACCTTCATAACGTATAACACCCAAATACCAATTTTTATCGATATAGGTCCAAAATAATGAAGTTTTATACAAATGTTTCCCCCTTTTTGACCCCCTTCGGAGTGGAATTTCCAAATATCCCTTCTTAGTACCCCTCTACATAATAATAGGTATGGATGTATCATCCAAATTTTATGTCTCTAAGGCTAGGCTGTGCGTTGTCTGTCAGTCAGTAAATCGGGACATTTCTTTTTATAGGTATATGGATTACTTTATGGGGCCGGTCTGCCCAATGACGTTTGGGTCACCCTAATCTGGAATTCGACATATAACCAATATTGACTTTATCGTTAGCTGATTGGAGAATAAAAAGTAAAACAAAGAGTATATTTGTTCAATTTTGCAATGAAGTTTGATTTTGTGAATTTTATTATTATCGATATTTCTTTAGAAATAGGGAAATCTGAGGAAAGTAGAAGTAATGCGAGGATCAGGGGTGCAACCGTTTAACTCACAAGCCATGATTCTTACGATAGGATACGACATCTTTGCGATGTTATAACGATATTTCGTTTCATTTTACTACTTTGACTTTTGGTGGATAAATTTGGGATAAATGTCTAAGTTGGTAACACTGATATCAAATTTATAATGCCAATATATATAAAACGCCGAAGAGATTATCTATTCATATAAAAAAGCAAGAGTTAATCTTCTTAAAGATCATATAAAAAAGTATGAACTATGTACAAAAAGTCAAAAAGGATATTATAATAGTACCCATAACAATTATGTCAAAGAAGAATAAAACAATTTTTAATAGTATTGAATCCTAGATTTAATAAAGATATTGCTTGCACAGGTTGAACTTAACTCGCTCCATACTTTGCTTTCAATTGATGATCAAATAATGCATCGCTATGACTATTTTTAATTATCAGATTTTTTTATTTATATCCCAATATTATACAATATTATATCATATACATATTTTCACTCCTGTGATTTTATCTTTACAGTATTACTCATAGTTGCAAGTTATATATTCTGTAATCGAGATAACAACAAAGTATTATCCAATTTTGTCATCACTTAAACGACACTTACATAAGTTTCCAGAGTATCCCGGGAACAGCCGTAAATCCCAGATAATTGGAAACACTGAGGGACAAATCCTACATATTCAAAATTCACTTTACCCTTACATAGTACACGCTAAATTAAGCTTTTTACCACACAAAATAGGGTCTAAATTAGAGATCAAAATTTATGTTAATAAATGCATTGCCGGGAATTGTAACCCAATATTTTATATGTAATAAAATTATGAATAATTTGATTTTTTGACAAGAAATATTTCATATAAAAGTTTGTAAGGTTGAATTTGAAATTTAAAACAACCCTCCGTATTTATATTAAAAAAAACAAACTTCTATAAAGTGATGTGGATGTCAACCCTCACTCAGATGCTTGCCACATTGGCTAAATCTTTTGTTACAAAATGAAACAGCGGGAAATTTTCATTATCTTGTAGACAAATATGTGTTAAATATTCAGTTATCTGAGCCTTGGCACGAAATATAATCATATTCAGATTTGAAACGACATACGAGTACTTGTCGTTTCAAATCTGAATATGATAAAACGGTTAAGTCGAGAAAGTATCAATTCGCGATATAACAACATAGTCTATAAATTACCAATATTCTTAATGAAAAATGCTTAAAATACATTTTGTCCTTGGCACTCTGATATAAGATGGAATGGGATGCCGGGGACAAAGTGGATTTTATAATTATTTTTTATTAATATTTTTTTTTCAGTATAGCATTGTGAATTCAAAATTGATCAATTATAATAATATTAATGATCATTTCTATCAATGACTGATTACCGATTCTATAAACTAATGGCCGATTCTATAAACGTATGATTTTACAAATGACCAGTTCTTCAATTGAATGATTCCACAAATGAGTGATATTTTTGAATCAGACATTCAAAAATATCAGTTATTTGTGGAATCATTCAATTGAAGAACTGGTTATCCGTCATTTGTCGACTAAACCGATTAAAACTGCGATAGTGCTTAAAAATATAAAGTACCTACATATTTTTGAAGCATTTTGGCAATGGTTTTCACCATTAATGATAATAAAAATAGATTGGTACAGCTAGAGTTACAAAATTTCTGTATTTATCCTTAGATCTCAAGATTTTCGAACACTTCTCAGGATAGCAGTCGTTTATTGCAAATCTCCGAGTCTTTAGAACTTTTAATAAAATACATAGTAAATTCTCTTAGGAAAAATAGATACAAACTAAAAGTAAACATCCTAATTTTGTGATGTGAAACAACGAGTGAGTAATATCCCCCGAGATCCGCAGTGTATAAAAACGACTATTTTAATTTTTGAGTCACGTTTGAGAGAAAAAATCATACCTCAACAAAATTTTAAGTTTCCAATGCAAATTTGGCCTTTTTTCATACTTTTTTTCAACTGATAACCTAGGTACAGCTGTAGATAATACGTCAGGGGACTATAAAATATCTCAAAAACGTAATCTGATGATTTCAAAATTGATTGCAGTTTGACTTGTTGCAGCAACCTGATATGCTCTACGAGTAATATTCCTTGGTATATTCCTCAAGCCTAAACGATTGCTTTCGATAATAAACTTCGAATGTTTCTTAGGGCGCCATCTAGTAAGAGCTTTCGAAAATTTAAAGCATCGTGTTTACTAGCTATTTTGGAGCTTTTTGGGTCGCATAAATTGTAGTTCTATGTCACCGGCGTATAATCATATGTACATACATATAATTCATAATACATTATGTTTTGTGTAGGTTAAGAACGTATTTAATCTTAATAATATAATATTAGTATAAGTTATTGTATACTAAGTATTATTACGGTAGAAGTTATTTATTACTTACTCAAATTGGAGCATATGGAATGATTGTAAAAATAGATAAGAAATAAAGTTCATATCTATAATATTTAATTAACGTTTAAACTTTGAATCTGGGAATGCTTTAATTTATATAGAAATTTAGTTATATTATTACTTATTTAGTACTGCTGTTTCATTAGCGTCTATAATTACACTTACTTAAATCATGGCTGTCTTTTAAGGGACTGTCCGCATCGCGATTTTATTTCGCGCGAATTTACAATCGCATTTCTGCAACACATTGCACACAACACATTACAGGAATATCTCCATTTGCGGAAAAAAATCATGTTTATTAAACTTCACCTTTTCGCGATTGCTTAGTCGTGCATCAGCACTAGCGGTGAAAAGATGTTACGCGGTTCGTGCCTCGTCTACTCGGCGATCGCTGAAAATGACAAAATTGACATTGAAATGTATATAATGAATCTATATTAATTCAAAATCCTCTGGGATAAATTTCAAGCAAACTACCATGTTAGGCAATCTAAAACGAGGTTGTGGGAAGAAATATATATTGAATTGAATCAAACAAATCAACAAATTAAAATCGGTCTGAAGTTTATTTTAGGGTTCCGTACCCAAAAAGTAAAACGGAAACCCTATTACTAAGCCTTCACTGTCTGTCTGTCATCAGTCTGTATCTCATGAACAAATATAAAATCCAGAATAAAATACATACTTAATGGGGCTCCAATACAACAACCGATTTTTGATTTTTTGCTCGTTTGCGGTACTGAACCTTCGTGCGCGAGTCCGACTTACACTCGGTCGGTCTTTTAGACGTTCGTCTCGACCGGGAGCTACATAAAACTGACAAATATTCCGCGGAATTTTCATTGCGAAATAAAATCTGCGCGTGTAAAAATCGCGATGCGGATAGTCCCTTAGAAAATCCTGTCCCAAGAAAATCCGATTTCTAGCCTTAAATTTTTCAATGTGAATATTAGCCGAAGATTAATGTGAATATTTTTTTTATCTGCAGTCATTCCACGCCGAAATTCATCAATACAAATATCAAATCGAACTCTTCGGCCAGCTGACCCAGCGACTCATCGCCGTCTATCGTAATGACGACACAACACGCATCAAACGTGCCACCGAGGCAATAAACCACAGATACAATGAGCTTAATAACAGGTAAATTATTAATTAGCGAAGACATCTTGCGACAGTGTTGACAGGACATCGAGTTAGGTTAGGTCAAGCCGCCATTTTTTCATTGATTTTAAGATTTAATGCACTTGTAATCTTTATTAATATTATAAAGAGGAAAGATTCGATTTTCTGTTTGTTTGTATGTTTCGAACTACTGGACCGATTTTAAAAATTTATTCACCAACTGGAAACTTTATCATACCTATGCGGTGAACATAGGCTATATTTATCCCGTAAAACAGCAATTAAAGGGATAAAAATAGGTGTGACAGTATGTTTAGTGAATGAAAACGAAAAGCCATAGTAACCATTGTTTAGTATTCATTTTGTCGTTGTAAGTAATATATCAGCGCCATAATATGGAATCGATATCTTAATAAATAGTTCCTTAGGAATCACGCAGGCGAAGCTGCTGGCGGAAAGCTAGTTAATTATATTTATTGATTGCAGAAAAGCATTTTGTAGTAAACCTAATGTGCTGACTTGTTCTGCACTTATATTTTATAACATCATTATAACATAGCACTGCGATATTTTTGAACTGAAATATTATCAAACTTCTGAAGGCAACATTGTTATAAATGAATACAATCGAATTACACTCATTTTTTTTAAACTTGTACAACATTTCACTAACAAAAAATATTTTTCAATTATCATATCTTATACACTATTTCTACATTAATTAAAACAATTTTGGCTGGCGAAGGGGCTGTGTTATTGCCGAAAATTAAAAACAGCGCCATCTACTTTTTTTAACTGGTAGCATCGAGCAATGGCTAGTTCTAGCTAGAGTCGGTAATGTTACCATCTAGTTTGGTTTGAAGAAATTCCTACATCAGTATTTACGGAGCTAGCCAACAATGTAACAAAATTTTAGTACTTTTTCGACGAATACATTAAGTATATGATTACTTTGTGATGTGCATAAATGATTAATTAAAAATATTCTTTGCAGTATCATAGCTCGGGGCAAAGCCCTAAACGCTGCGGTGTCGTCATTGCAAAACTTCGATCGTTCATTGGAGAAGTTCGTCGGTTGGCTGAGCGAAGCAGAGTCGCTGTTGGATGCTGCTGACAGGGACCCTCATCTACTCAAGGTAAGGTAAATAGTTTAAACTAACTAGAAGTAATTTAAAAAGAATATGAACACATTCAATTCCGATTAGTTGTAATAAATTTTACAATAAAAAAAAAATACAATACAACCCGAAGGGCACCGCACGTTCGTTAGAGGAACTAGGGATATGAAATAGCAGCATCACCTCTCGAACCCTTGCGTTCGTACGTTACAGTAAAGCTTCTGCAACCCTTAGATAGATGGCGTACTACGTTCGTCAGTTTACAAAGGTAACATTGGTGTTTGTATAACCTGTAGTTCTTACGCCGATGCGTAGGTGGCGCCACCTTATTAATACGTAACGAAAAGCTTTTCGCTACCCTTGCATAGATGGCATTAAAATACAAAGCGATTGCAAAAATCTTCAGCTCGACGTTTATATCTTTCGATGTTGTACAGGTGGCGCTACAAGTCTGCTGTGTTTCTTGGTTGTGTAAAACATTTTTTATACATAGATGGCGCTAAGATATAAAGTGAATTGAAATTCCGTACTTAACACATTAGCCTGCCTAAAAAGATTTCTCCGGTATCTTTAAAAGTCTTGTATCCTATGACATTGTACAGATGACGCTATTGTACAACAAGGTTGCTTTGTATTTTACTCACCACGTCTAGTTTAATAAAGCATATTTTCTCAAATGATCTTGTTTTACAACCCTTGTACAGATGGCGTTATAGCTAAACAGAAACACGACTTGTAGTCCGGTTTCTTTGAAAATTACGCTTTGTAAATATTTGCTTGATAGCGCCATCTCTAAAATTTGCATATTAATAACTGGTTACAACCTGAAATCGGTATTTGACAGTATGCTTTAAAATTTATGAAAACATAACTCCGTTTTTTAATTCTTTTAGTACTTGTGTAAATCAATAGGTGGATTTATTAGTATAAAGAGAAAATATATTTTGGTATGCACAAGGCTATTTCCGCTTACTGACACCGTTATTATTATCTGTGCCGACAATGACACCGGTTGATTGATAAACAATTGTATGCTATTGTTTGATTGTTCTTTGAAAGTTATTTCATATTTGTAACTCTCAAAGCTATCATAGGTATAACATATTTTTAATTTATGACTTTGGAGATTTTCTGGCTTTTATTTGTTTAATAGCTCATTAAATATTGCAAATTAAAAACTGAAATTTAGAAATTCAGCATTACACATTTTTTTTTCATACATGTTTACAGTTTAGGTGACAATACGTGTTCAGTTAAGTTACATCATTTTAAATCTTAAATGATGGTTGGCCAAGATGGCGGCATAATACAAAACTTAAATTTTCGAGTGGTTCGCACGCCGGTTTCAAAGTGTCACCATCCCTGAGGTCCCGGGTGCGATTCCCGGTAGAGTCGATGTAGAAAATGGACTTATCGAGCTTGGGTGTCGTGATGCCCTCGTTGTCTCGGATGCCCCATAATTTACATGCTTTAGTTGCTCATCTTTGAATCTGAGCAAAGTGTGTGATGTAGTCTAATATCTATTTATTTTGTATTTTTTGCAGTTAATTTTGGTGCACTGGTTTTGATAAGGAAATTACGTCACTTTAATTCCAATCCAATATACCGGACTTTCTTAATATGGGCATCAAATAAAAGGGTTTGTTAAGAGCATTGCGGAAAATTAAAAAAATAAATAGAACATTAATAAATGTTCTAAGTCATTTTTCACTCGAACGAATTTTAGTTTAATCGAGCTTATAAAGTAGGCGCGCTACTACTTAAAATATAAAAGCAAAGTTAAATATTAAGTTTCGCTTATAGGGAAATTTTATACGCTACACATCGCGAGCTTCAGGTAGATGAAGTTTTAAATTAGGTAGTCGCTGTCGAGGGCTTCCCAGTTTGCTCCACTAATGGTGCAGAAACACCGTACACCGCAACTTTGTATTGATGTTTCAATACGTTTGTTAATATAATAAATTAAGTAGGTAACGCGTTTTTGTGCTTTCATAGTGATTTTTTAAATTTGACAGAACTTCTTTGTTATTTTTTTTTATAATACTGCCAAAAGACTCTGCTCTAACATTGAAAAAGCTCCCTATAAAATTGTATTTAAGAGACTAGTCGGTGAACACTATTTCGTTCTTGCAAATAAGCCCCTTTAAATCTGGTTAACTTCTATATATAAAATATATATATATTACTATTGTTATACATAAATACAAAGGACACGTAGTTTTATCTGTTGTTGTTGACTTGTTGTATCTCTTCTGACTTCAGAATGCGATAACTATAATGACGTCTCTTTGTTGGTCTTCAGTTTAAAAATGTTGTAGACACAGAAACAGCATTAACTTTAGCAACGACGATCATCAATGAACGTGGAAATGGACTTCTTATTAATTCTCGCACCCATTTGAAATGTAGTATGTCTTGTTTTAGATACTTCGAAGCACGCCAATAAGTTGTATGGTTGTAACTTAACGGTATCTTTATATTAAACAATCTGGGGTCACCAATATGGAAAAGTATATAACATTTTCCATTTAATAATATTTTAATAAATAAAACACGTTTTAGTAATCTGACAGCATCGTATTGACAGTCCTATATTTTATCGTCTAAATTTTCATTTTTACATTCATAAAAACAAAGAGGTCGGTTGATAAGAATGACTAATACTCTTGTACTACTTGAATCAGTTACGGGTTAGTGAAACTTTCGAATTGCAGACGGAGTTGAGAATATATCCGATCACGGAGTCAAGGAAATTAACGGTTTAGAATAAACCCCCACTGCTGCGATAGGCTGTGAAACTTAGAGAATATCAGTTTTCAATTTATTAACAATTATTAAGGATCTTGATTCTTTTGAATTTGTATGTTTTATTTATTTAATTATTGAGCTATTAAAGTAGTTTATTAAATTGTTTTTGCGCCAATTCTTCTCCATAGGTGAAATACCTGTCTTGAATGGACAGATAGAATATGGATTATTCAAAAGTTGTATTAATGCTATCAATTTGATTAAACTCAACTTAAACATTCACATAGCTTTTTTGATATATTTATGTATCTTTATTTTCAGGTAAGTCTCAAGCTATTGACTAAGCGTTTCGTGTTGCTGTTTTACGTAAGTACTAATTTGTAATTTGTTACATATGATATTATTATTTATCTGGCTATAACATGCCGTTCCATTTTATATCCGATTATGATTGATTACAATGAAAAAATATTCTGAGACTTTTGTAGTACTATAATAGGAAAATAGAAAAAAAGGAACTTTTTTTCTTTTGGAAATATTTTACAGGATTTTTTTTTTCAGTTATTATATTTCTTCGAACCATATTAAAGTAGTTGAACTGAAATAACTATTTTCATGTAAAATGTATTGTTTTCTTATTTATTGAAAAAAAACCTACTTTCTTATAATTTTGGTAATCAGCTCAAAGTCTACTCAAAATCAACTTTAGATTACGCACGTTTCATATCAGGCCATATTTGTTATCTAAACGAAGTTTCTACAGCCCCATAGGCGAAGAGCGTTATCATCATCAGCCCTGTTCAGTCCTCACTGCAGAAGCTCAGGCCTTCCTTATGGATGGTTAAGGAGGATGGGCTAGGAACCTCCACGTTGGCAAAGCGTATTGGTATTAAAGACTGCAAATATTGCCGAGACCAATAGTTATTTGATAATAATATTTTGGTCACCCATCCCGTGACCGACCCTTGCGAAAGTTGCTTAACAAACAATGATTGCAGGCTGCGGCGATACTTAGCGAAGAGCGTGGTAATACGAAATTAACAATATCTAGTAGTACTAATATAAATTACAGTCACATCTAATTCAACAACAACAAACCAATTAATCAAAAGCCTCCGGGTCGAACGCTTTGAGTAGAGATCAATCGAAAATAGTATACGATTAAACTAACATCCAGAATACTTTGCTGGCCTTTGAATCTATATATGTCAATAAAGGATGGGACACGATTATTAGGTATCGATAAAAATTAACCTTTTTATATCCTTTAGTATTGAAGGTGGACAAGAAATACACTTGAGAAATCAATTATTATAGTCAGTAAAAAAAATAATTATAAAATTTAAATCATTAACGGAAAAAATCATATAAAATCCGCTTTTTATTTAAGGCATTATCATTGTACCATGAATACGAATTAAACGATACCACAACATCACGGAAATGAGATGACAAGATGAGATGAGATTTTCGGTAGCCAAAGAAACCTTTGACTGAACGATATATGATAAGTTTAGTAAACAGAATAGATATGAAATAAATATGTTTAGCAGCTCGGTGGCGTAGTGGATAAGCACCGCAGCCCGCGATTGTAGCCGTTAAGCAACTGTCGCAAGGGTCGGTCACGGGATGGGTGACCAAAAAATTATTATCTCAAGCTACTCCGTGCTTCGGAAGGCACGTTAAGCCGTTGGTCCCGGCTGCATTTGCAGTCGTTAATACCCTCCAATCCGCATTGGGCCAGCGTGGAGGGTCATGGCCCATCCTCCTTAACCATCCATAAGGAAGGCCTGAGCCCCTGCAGTGGGGACGTAAAAAGGGCTGGTGTTGGTGATGAAATATGTTTAAAAAACCTTGTAAGACACTGTTCTCGTTGCTAATAAGAGGTCTCGGGTAATGAGGAAAAATAACTCTTATTTTAGATATATTTATCGTTATTATTATCGAAACGTTTCGTCACTATGATCACCGCCATACAATCAATCTAACTCAAGACCGGCGAAGACATCTAATTACTTTTCCTCACAAAAGCGTGGAGCATTTACTCTGATATTGGAAGCATTTCCTCCATATACGTTAAGGGTTACGTGAATAGAAATATTGTCCGACACTATTGATTCATTCGGATATTTGTGGATATGCTTTATTCTTAGAGAATCAAGTTTTTATATGTTTGTGTAGAAATTTTTGAAAATATTTAATAAAAACATCACTAAAATGAGGCAAGATGTTGTTATAACAATAACAAACATAATTTTTTATACTCACAA